TCAATGCTACAAAGACGGCAATGACCTAGTACTGACCATCAGACGACCAATGAACATCAGAGCACACTGAAGACCACACAACGCTAAGGGCAACCCAGAGCACCGCACTTGGCCTATCACTTCAAAAATCCATTTAAAATCCCTAGCAAGATAAATATCATCTGGATTATAATTATATAGTTATATGGATATGTGAAGTGATTTGGTCGAAAGGAACATTATATGCCTTACTTTGCATAAATTGCCAAGAATTAACATTGAGACAGATATTAAAACGACCCTGATATGAATGTTTTCTTTGATGGTTCTCAAACGTTCTTCAGAATCTTCAAGGGCTCTCAGGGATTAGGGACGAGACACATTACAGATACGAGCTAACAGGGTCACCAGAATATGAGAGTGACTAGCAAGCTGTATACAACTCAGGTCCTACCCTGTTCTTCTCTTCCCTATCACGCCTCCTCTGACTTTGCCTCCTGTAGATTCTTCTCTCATGGGAAAAATACAAAGTACATCTATACTTATGATGGCCCATTCCCAAACGCTCACTCATGGAAGACCTTTCAAATTGATTTCAGGTCTTGCTCTCAACAGACATTTTGGAGAGAACATATGCCATCTGCTAGTGCTCATATCCTCCCATCTCGTGTCAGCATCTGGCATCACCGAAAATGCCCCTCAACATCCCTGACACGGAACTTGCCAGAGTTTCTTCTGGCTCCTTTTTTTTTTTTTTTTTAATCATTAATAGTAAAATCTTGGTGTTTCTCAAGGATATTGTTCTTACCATCTCCTAGTGATGGAAAGCAAAGCCTTTGGGATGGGACGACCCTCAGTTCAGTTTAAAGCTAGGTGTTGCACTTGTTAGCTGTGTGCTCATGAGCAAGCTGATTTCTCGCCTTCAGTTTTTTCATATGTATAAAAGGACAACATATGTAATGAGAACTTTGTAAATACACAGGAGTACTATCATATATATATACACACACACACACACACACACACACACACAATGGGGATTTTATATATTTTAGTATGTATCTATTTAAAATATATATCTTAAGTGTGCATACATACATATACACACACATACACACATGTAAACCCTAGGGTTATATGAGATAAACACCCTATATAGATCAAAAGCATAATGAGCATCAAACTGCCTGCTGCCATCAAACAACAACTAAAATTCAGCATCATATAAACAGAACTCATCTCCCTCCTGCCTCATTTTCCCCTTTCTATTACTAATGGCACCAATATTCTCTCAGGATTGAGTCCTCAGCATTATTTGTAACACCTTCCTCTGGGTTTCTGCCTAGCGTACCTCACAGAAGGATGCTCTCCAGCCTGTAACTCCCCATTCTCACTACCAGGCCCTAAACCTACGCCATGGGACCTCCCACCACACCTTTTATTCCTTTGCCTTCTACAGCAAACCCTGCTGCCAAATTTAGCTTCCTGAAGCAGTTTACTTGAAAATTACAAGACACCCCGATACCTATAAACTTTAATCCAAAAGTCCTACGGGGCACTCTCAACCTCCCTACGCCTGACCCACATCTCTTCCCAATCTCATCTCGTGCCACTCTGCCAGGTTCCAGCAGGAGCCGCATTCGTAGAACACACACCTGCTCTCAGTGTTTCTCTGATTGCATGATCCCCCAGGACCTGAAGTGTTCTCTTAAAATATCTCCACCTACTCCAACTCCATTCTAAAACCTATTCATGTCACTATTAGGCCACATTCCAGACTCCCCACAGATGGGATGGACATGCTCTTCTCTAAAGTCTTAGCAGCTTTCTCTGTCTCTCTGAGAACCTCTGTTCTCCACCATCTCTTGCAGTTACCATTTGGTATCTCTTCCTCTGCTGGACCCCCTGCCTTCCTGCCCCCCAAATTTCACACTTTGTCTGACTCAAAGCAGGCACTGTACTGAATTTATCCACAACACATATACTTTGAGAACAAAACTTATGCAAAACTCACAAATTCTAAGGCACAACCCCAATTTGAAAATCCTTGGCAATTTTAGCACCATTTTTCCACCTGGGAAATACAATTTTCTGGTTTGCAAAGGAAGAAAGACCTTGATAATATTTTTGGCCCACAAACACTTCTTTTAAAATAACATCTTAACGTATTATGTGGAAATGAAGCCAAAACATATGGATTAAGTTTCCTATAAAGTACATATGGATTTTATGAAAACAGCCAAGAGGCTAGGATAAAATGTGATTTCCAAAGCAGATTAACTAGCGGTCTTTTTCTAACTCCAAAATTAATCCAAAGCTTTCTTGCTTTAATTATATGCTGGAAGTTTCTTCTTCGGCTTTAGTGACGTTCCTAGTCAGAGTCAACATTTTTCACATGCCTAGGGAGGAAAATAAGTAAAGAGGAAAAGCAAACATCTTTCTTCTATCGTTACTTTTCCCTCTGTTCTCCTTCACAGACACTACCTGGACCTCCTCCTTTACTTTCTTGTCTCCCCTCTCTTTTGTATAATTTTTTTCCTTCTTCACAAGACTATTCTTTTTCACCTTTCCTATCCGTATTTCCTCTCTCATTTTCATTCTCGCACATTTACTAAGAGGAACTCTGTCCCTCCCTCACCATGTTCAAGCCAAACAGAAGATCGTGGGGTGGTATAGGTGAATCAGTTGTCAAGGAAACCTGTGGCTTCCATGGGTACAGACGTCCATGAAGTTTTCCTGCATAACCACCCGTCGGTAGAAATATTCTTCCTCACAGAGGAGCCTGGACTCTCAGATGAAGCCCAGCCCAGCAGGGACAAAAAGCTGAGAGGAGGGAGTGAAAGCAGACAAGGATGAAATTATAGAGAAAAGAAGAGGTAATGGGGAAATACGTTCTGAGAAATATTAACTAACAGCTCCCTCTTTCCCGGTGCTCCCAAACCTCAACCCATGGACACAGTGAAGAATCTGAAACTCAGCGTCTCACCTCCTCCCTTCTAAGTAGGAGAGCTCAGTGCTTCAGTTAATACCGGTTGTGTGTTCACAGCATTATGTAGCCCAGCCACAGAATGGCAGAGGGAATCTAAAAGCCTTCTCTCTACTTAGCTCTATAAAGCTTGAACTTGGAGAATGGGTCCAGTTTCACCTGCTGTAACTATTATAATTGGCTCGCCAATGCCACTTGGAAATTCCTCTAAGATTTGTTAACAAGGTGAAAGCAGCACTATCTACTTCCCGGCAGAAAAATCATGTACTTAGCTTCCCAGCTTCAAATAAGAGAAGAAAATAGGAAGCTGCAGCATTAAATGCAAACCCTTTTATCCGACAGCAAGACCCAGAGCCAGTGTTTTCACAAAGAAATTGGTTAAAAGTTACCTAATTGGGATTTAATCTAATGATAGTTGCGCTACTCAACATCGTTTCAAAGCTTGTAGTCTAATTATTTCTTTTTTCGAAAAATGAATAGTAGCCACCGTTCCATAAAGTTGTCTGGAGAGCTTAGTGTACACTAATGAGGTTTAATGACAGTGTGACAGGACCATAAAAGAAGGCACAAATTCACCATTAGCCACCAAAAACAAAACAAAAAAGCCCCAGAAACTTCTTACCCCCGTTAGTAATTAGCTTTCACCATACTGGTAAAGAAAATCTCTGACCAGGTTTCAAAGTTTTTCAGTGGGAACCAATATACACACCAGCCAGAACCGCTCTAGCAAATAGCAAACGCAGCAAGGACCCAAGAAACGCTCTTGCAAGGCTCTGCTTGGAGGGACTATACCTCCGGCTGTCCCTTGCCCACTCCTGTGAACCCCTCAAATTTATTGAGTTCATTAATTCATCCAATAAATAGTAACTGAGCACTAAATAGGCACCAGGTATCATTCCCAGTACACAAAAAGATCTCTGCCCTCAAGGATCTAGCAGGGAAAAACAGGTTAAAACGAAGAAAATAAATAAGTAAATGATCGAGTTTGTTAGACGGGCATTATACTATAGGCTACAAGCTCCCCCAACCCCCCAGATTGTGACCTGCTTTCCATCAGAGACTGCAATGTTTAGCTTCACATCCCAGCACCTAATAATACTCTTGGCATATAATGCAATCGCAATTTAAAAAACAAACAAAACAAAAAAAAAACAACCTTTTAATGAACAAATGAGCAACCAAGCATTTTAACCATTTTCAAATTCCCTATCTTCACAGAAAAATTATTAGCAAGGTCTTGATCTGTAACTGACAGAATGAGGAGAAAAAAAAAGTGTAGAAGTTCTTGAAAATGTCTATTGTATTTTGAAAAATCATGCATGTTCCATGCTTACCGAGAAACAAGTAATTAGATGTGCCACCTAAGAGATCACTCAATTTAAGCCAGAGATGCTTAACCCGGGAACCCCAGACTCAGGGATACATGTGAATACCCAAAAATTGTGAACACAATTGGGAGGAGAGGGGGGAGCTATATGTGTTTTTCTGAGGAGAGTATGACACAGATTGACAAAAATATTTCCCCAGTGTCACAGAAATATAATTTGAGTGAGAAATCCAAAAATAAGAATGAAGACCGGGGTGGGGGGTGGGGAATCCTCAACAGTTCACAGCTACATAGTTAATATTCATTTGCATCTGGATTAAATATTTCTTCCTTGAACCAGTGAGATCACAGGAGAGCCATTAGGCTTCAGATTTATGGAACTCCATCAGAAGACAAGCTCAATGCAAATGTCTCAGAACCAAGCTCATCACCACGATGATAAAATCATTGAGAGAGAGAGAGAGAGAGAGAGAGAGAGAGAGA